TATATATATATTATATATGTGTGCGTGTGTGTGTGTGTGTGTGTATGTATATACTCTCTCTCTCTCTCTCTCTCTCTGTACATTGTACTTTTGTTGGAATGACCAGAGATGTGAAAGTGTGCAATATTAGCATTAGACAGCATATCATATCAGTACCATACATATCTTAGACTTTTCATATTTAATATATGCATATAATGATGCTTGTAGCTGTCTGGGGTTTTCAAATGTATGTGATTTTTGTGTGATTTGCAATGCTACTGTAAATTGACCTGTAGTTTTCCCTCCAGTGACCATAACACACAGCAGACACACACTAACAACAGCAACTCAGATGCTGAAGAAGACATTCAGGTAAGGCAATAGAAGCTATGTTTGTGTATCCACTGGAAGGCTTTGGTCAGTCTTTATCCTGTTTATATTTGTCCCATTTCTTTGAAAGAAAAGGGCTAATTGCTTCAGCAATTCACAATTTAAAAACACCTTTAAGCAAAAAGCATTGCATGTCCAACATCATTTATGAAGTCAGTCAATTATCTTTTGTTGTATTAAATATATAATACAATATGACTGATACAACTGGTTAAAATGTTGAAACCATGATTGTAAACGGAAGCCAAATCCAGATATTAACTTTAAATAAAACTTTTTTTTTGGCTAATATTGCCAAGTACATATCATCTTGTAAAGATAGACACCTTCCACTGAAACTAGGTGGAAACCCTAACATAAGACACATTTTTAAAATCAAGAGTTACTTTGCAATGTAACATGAATAAATAAATACATTTTAAAATGTATTGGTGTGTGGGAACTTGTGTTTTTTTTAGGCTTTTATTATAGGTGAGCATCATCATATTGCTTTCATTAATCATTTGTCTTGTTACTTAACTGATCTGTCTAGTGGACAAACATCCTCAGATCATAAACACAACAGTTCAGTTGAAAGTCAGCAATATAAATGTATTAAATCATGATTTTTGTCCTCTGGTCCTGTTTCTTATTGTCTTGCCTCCTTTAGTGGTCAGATGATGAGGCAACCGCCACTGTCACTGTGAGTTTGGTAAATGTTTCTCATCAAAATGTGCTGTTTGTATCCTTAGGGCCAAATAGACATGCTGAATTTATTTCCTTCCTGAAGTGTTCCTCCTTTCTCTTAGGTGTATTTTCTGTAATTAAAATACATGTGAATCACATCTCCCCCATGCTTGTGGTATCTATAAAATATAACAATCTGATATTTTTTGTGTATCAGGCTCCTGAGTTCCCGGAGTTCACCTCTAAAGTGCTGGAGGCCATAAACGCCCTGGGTGGGCATGTCTTTCCCAAACTCAACTGGAGCGCTCCACGGGTAAAACACTGCACATGTTTACTTCTCTCAGAACATAAAATTTTAGCAGCATGTGTGTCTACTGTACATACTTGATGTGTTTATTTGTAGCATAAGCAAATAATTTGTTGGCCAAAAGCTCTGTCCATTTCAGTACACTGAAGAATAAGAACTGCTTCCTGTACCTGTGCTAGCATTAAGGACTGAGGCATAGCATAAAAAGTGTGTGTGTGTGTGTGTGTGTGTGTGTGTGTGTGCGTGCGTGTGTGCCTCCCTTTCAGGACGCTAACTGGATTGCTCTGAACAGTTCCCTGCAGTGTCACAGTCTCAGTGATATATTTCTGCTCTTCAAAAGTTCCGACTTTATCACCCACGACCTCACGCAGCCGTAAGCTTTACTATCTGACAACATCAGCACACACACAAGAATACCTGGGTTTGTTTTGTATTTAGATGACAACCCTTATTAAAAGAACAGCACAGTTTGGTTTGCATAGGCTGATAAGAATCTGCAGTAAAACACAAGTGGTAACTGGGGTAATTGCTATGGTGCAGATTTATGTCTCAGACCTCAGTCTGCATGCCAAATATTTAATGCAACAAGTGATTTACTGCAGCACAAAGGCTTGAGAATGCTGTTTTTCTGTGTGAGTGGAGAGGCCGATGTGACATATGCATGTTGGTTGGACTTGTTTAAAACCTCTCCTTCAAGCTTTGGAGGAGAGGGGGAATACCCTGATTTTGGCCTTGTGATTCAGAGCACACATTATTATGTTTGTTTTCTGTTTGTAATCAGAATTTCTTTATTTATGCAGATTCCTTCAATGTACTGACCAGGACTCCCCAGATCCAGTTATAACCTATGAGGTATTTTTATCATTCATGATAAAATAAAAGACGAACTATACATATAATGGGTACGGAAAGTTTTGAGACCGTTTCAAGTTTTCCACATTTTATTATGTTTCATACTCATCTTTAAAATTGATTTTTTTTTTCTCTCATCAATCTACACACAATACTCCAAAATGATCAAATGAAAACAGGTTTTTGGAGTGTTTTGTAAATTTATTAAAAATAAAAGCTCTGGTGCATCCTACTCCTATCAATAGTCCTTGGAATGCTTCAGAGAGAGAGTATAAGGATACGGCATCTGCCAGTCTAGGTGTGAAGGGATTCATTTATGACAAGGGCTGATGTCACAATTTTTAGCACATTGGTTCTGTTGTTTTATGACCTGCAGCTGCAAGGTCCCCTAGATTTTCAAGACTTATTTTATTTTATAACATGCACCTGCATGCCATAAAAGTAGGCTTTCTTATGGAAACGGGGCAGATGGACAGGCTAGGGTTATTACATCAAAGAATATTTTATTACTATAAGGGGAAACCATGTGACTTTAGTGTACCCCCATGTGGGTTTGGCATTTAAACTGGCCCGCAACACAGATGGAATCTTTTACAGTTTCCTGTGTTTGGTTGAGACGAGAGCTTCAACCCATGACAGAGACTGGCACCTCATACACACAGCGGCCGGGTGTGCCTTTTCAGCCCTGTATGTGCAACAGTCTGCAATGCATGTACAAACTGAGCATGTAAACAGTACAGGTGTAATTACAAGAAGTAATTCCTGGTTATAAACTCCTGTCAGCTGTTTAGGAGTCTGATGGCAGTTGGAAAGAATATTTTTCAGTCTAGAGGCCCTGCATTTCACACATCCTGTACCTCCGGCCTTAAGGTAGAGGTGTGAACAGTCCATGCTGGAGGTGGGTGGGTGGGGTCCTTGAGGATGGAGGCAGCTCTCCTCCCTTTAAACGAAAGAAACCTCCAACAGACCCCATCTCTTGTTGGACAGCCTTCTACTTGGTCAGGTTGATGTGGCCGGTGACTGCTCATGAGAAATGTACAACTCCAGAGCCAGGCCTACTTGCAGAAATGTACGGGGAGAGAGAGAGAGGACACACTACGGGAGAAAGGAGACACAAAGTTAATGAGCTGTGATGGTGGCATATAGTAGATGCATAGAGAGAGAGAAGAGAAACAGCTCAGGAGTGAAGTGCTTGGTTGGGATGATAAGGCACTATGAGGTCTTTAAGATACAATGGAGCCTTGTTATTAAGGGCTTTGTATGTTGGGAGAAGGATTTTAAATTCTGTTCTGGATTTTAAATTCTATTCTGGATTTTACAGGGAGTCAGTGAAGAAAAGCTACTATGGGACAAATACGATCTTTCTTTCACTTCTAGAGACTTGGATTATGTGTGATTTAAAGGACATATCCTCATCAAAAATTACTCCAAGGTTCCTCACAGCAGTACTGGAGGCCAGAGCTCTGTCATCTGGAGTAGCTATATGGTTAGATAGTATATTTCTAAGGTTTTCGGTACAATAACTTCAGTTTTGTCAGAGTTTAGAAGTAAGAGATTACTGGCCCTCTAGGTCTTTGTGTCTTTTAGACATGCTCTAAGTTTGGCCAATTGATCTGATTCATCTGGGTTCATAAATATAACTGAGTATCATCTGCATAGTAATGAAAATTTATGCTGTGTTTCCTGAAAATACCGCCTAAAGGAAGCATATACAAAGTGAAGAGAATTGGACCTAGCACAAAACCCTGTGGAACGACATAACTAACTTTGGTCTGCACAAAAGAGTCACAGTTAACATAAAAATATTGTAAGCTTTTTGATAAATAAGATTTGAACTAATTTAGTTCAATTCCTTTAATCCTAATAACATGTTCAACTCTGTAATAAGATGCTATGATCAATGGTGTCAAAAGCAGCGCTGAGATCTAAGAAGACAAGTATGGAGACAAGTCCTTTATCTGAGGCTAGGAGAAGATCACTGGTGACTTTCACCAATGCAATTTCTGTACTATGATGGACTCTATAAAGATTGACTGAAAATCCTCAAACAAATCATTCTTGTGTAAGTGGTCACATAACTGCTTAGCAACAGCTTTTTCAAGGATTTTAGACATAAACTGGTGATTGGATATTGGTTTATACTTGGATAGAACACCTGGGTCATGAGTAGGCTTTTTGAGTAGAGGTTTAATTACAGCAGCCTTAAAAGCCTGTGGAACATAACCTGTTAATAGAGAAAGGTTCATCAGATCTAGTATGGATGTGTTGATTAGAGGCAAGACGTCGTTGAGCATCCTAGTTGAGATGGGGTCTAAGAGACATGTTGATTTAGATTAAGCAATTATTGAGGTCAACTCGGCGAGATCAATGGGAGGGAAGCAGTCAAAGTATAAATGAGGTCTTACAGATGATTCTAAAGCCACTGTAGTTGATGGCATGTCTTGAGAGTTGTGGGAATGATTTGATTAATTTTTTTCTCTAATAGTTGTGATTTTATTTGTAAAGACGCTCATGAAGTCATTAGGGCTGAGATTTAAGGGTATATTAAGTTCAACAGTGGTTAATATGCGGTTCTGGCACTCTGAAGTGCGTTTTTATGTTATTAAACTATCTTTCCAGGCTAGGAAAAGTTCTTCTGACTTGGTGCAGCACCACCTCCTTTCCAGTTTTTATGATGTCTGCTTTAGGGAGTGGAGCTGCAAGCTGTACCACGGGGCTAGCCTCCTCTGTTTCACTGCCTTCTGCAACAGTATCAAGTGTCATACGAGGGAGGGTGCAGCACTATCAACAAGATTATCAACTTGTGTGTGAGTAAAATTAAGGTGGCCGCTCTCCATTATGTTGGCACATGGTACTGAAGTAAATCTTCTTTTGGCTGTTCCCGTTAGGGGTCACCACAGCGAATCATCTGTTTCCACCTAACTTTATCCTCAGCATCCTCTACTCTCACCCCAGTTAACATCATGTCCTCTTTTAGCACATCCATATATCTCCTCTTTGGCCTTTCTCTTGACCTCTTGCCTGGCAGCTCCATCTCCAACTTCCTTCTGCCAATATAACCACTATCCCTCCTCTGCACATGTCCAAACCATCTCAATCTGGTCTCTCTGACCTTGTCCCCAAAACAGCCGACCTGAGCTGTCCCTCTGATGTGCTCATTCCTAATCCTGTCCATCCTGGTCACTTCTAAAGAGAACCTCAACATCCTCATCTCTGCTACCTCCATCTCTGCCTCTTGTCTTTTCCTCACTGCTACAGTCTCTAACCCATACAGCATAGCTGGTCTCATCACTGTCTTGTACACCTTTCCTTTGATTCTTGCTGTCACACAACACTCCTGACACCTTTCTCCACCCACTCCAACCTGCCTGCACTCACCTCTTCACCTCTTTCCTACACTCCCCGTCACACTGGACTGTTGACCCCAAATACATAAACTCCTGCACCTTCTTGACCTCAGCCCCCTGTAACCTCACTGTTCCACTTCCCTCCCTCTCGTTCATATACATGTATTCTGTCTTACCACAACTGACTTTCATTCCTCTTCTTTCCATTCCTCAGGCATCTTCTCACTCTCTAAAATCCTGTTGAACAAACTAGATAGAAACTCCACTGCTGTTTCTCCTAGACACTTCCACACCTCTACAGGCAAGTCATCTGGACCAACAGCCTTTCCACTCTTCATTCTCCTCAGAGCCTTCCTCACCTCATCCTTTCTAATCTTTGCTACTTCCTGCTCTACAATATTCACCTCTTCCCCCCTTCTTTCCCTCTCATTTTCCTCATTCATCACTTCCTCAAAATACTCACCTGGCATACAACTCATCATATGCTTTCTGTTTGGCCATTGCCACCTCCCTCTTCACTCTACGCTGAAATGTCTTGTAATCTTGTCTACTGTCCTCAGTCCTTTCTACGTCCCACTTCTTTTTAGCTAGCCTCTTCCTCTGAATGCTGTCCTGTACTTCCTCATTCCACCACCATGTTTCCTTGTCTTCTTTCCTCGTTCCAGATGACACACCTAGCACCTTCCTACCTGTCTACCTGATCACTTCTGCTGTAGTTTCCCAGTCATCTGGAAGTTCTTCCTGACCACCCAAAGCTTGTCTCAACTTCTGTCTGAATTCCTCACGACATTCTTTCTTTTGCAACTTCCACCACTTGGTCTTCTTTTCTGTCTTTCCTCGCCTCTTCTTCCTGACCACCAGAGTCATCCTACACACCACCATCCGATGTTGTCTGACTACACTTTCTCCTACCACCACTTTGCAGTCACTAATCTCTTTCAGATTACCTCGTCTACATAGAATGTAGTCTACCTGCGTACTCCTACCACCACTCTTATATGTAACTCTATGTTCCTCCCTCTTCTGGAAATAGGTGTTAACTACATGGTTTCATTTCTTCCTTAGTTGAACAATCTAGGCAAAACAAAGAGGTGTACCATCAGTACCAGGAGCTTGCTTGAGTAAATGTACTTAGTTATTTTCCAAAACTACTGTGTTGTTGGTGTGGACTGTAATATAAAAAGGTGTTTCTGTGAAAAATGACCTGGGAGAACTGGGAGATCCTTTGTCAGGAGCCTTACATATATAAGCTTTAGCTGTACTTTAGTATTTTGTCAGCATTGTACAGTAGCTGAATAAACCTTTGTGAAGTTAGGCCTACATTGCACTACCTGCAGTAATTTTTACAGTGCCTTGCGAAAGTATTCGGCCCCCTTGAACTTTGCGACCTTTTGCCACATTTCAGGCTTCAAACATAAAGATATAAAACTGTAATTTTTTGTGAAGAATCAACAACAAGTGGGACACAATCATGAAGTGGAACGAAATTTATTGGATATTTCAAACTTTTTTAACAAATAAAAAACTGAATAATTGGGCGTGCAAAATTATTCAGCCCCTTTACTTTCAGTGCAGCAAACTCTCTCCAGAAGTTCAGTGAGGATCTCTGAATGATCCAATGTTGACCTAAATGACTAATGATGATAAATAGAA